TTAAAACGTCCTAATGGTAGTACTCTCCCTGAAAATAATCCCAATGACGTCTGTGAACAATTTCAAAACTTTTTCTCAGATAAGATAACTAAAATAAGATCTGAGCTAAGTATCCAGTCATTTCCTGAACCTGTTGATGAATCTGAGTTTAATGGCGATCTCAGTTTTCTTACATTTTCAGAAATTTCACAAACCAACTGAAAGAAATAATAATGGCAGGCTCTCCTAAATCCCGTGAACTTGATCCGATCCCATCGTAGCTATTCAAACGTTGTATTAATGAACTTCTGCCTATTATATATCATCTCATTAATAGTTCTCTACAAGCAAGATATGTGTCAACACCATTAAAAGTAGCATTTGTTCGCCCTCTTCTGAAGAAATCTAACCTTGATCTAAATTTATTAAAGAAATACAAATCGCATTTTAATTCAAACAATTTCAATGAAAAGTTTCACAGAGCAATTAGATTCGGGTGGAGTGCAGAAACAGCACTTGTTCGTGTTTATAATGACCTCATCATAAATATTGAAAACGAGGCATCAACAGCATTGGTATTATTATATTTAAGCGATGCCCTTGACACAATAGATCAGTCCATTCTTATCCAGCGCTTTTCCACTCGGTTTGGTGTCCAGGTAAAAGTTTTGGATTGGTTCAGCTCCTATCTGACAAACCGAACCCTGTCAATAGTCATTGACGGCAACTAGTCATCGCCATCGTCTCTTGCCTTTGGTGTACCTCGAGGATCCGTATTGGGACCCATGCCTTTCCCGGCATATATTATTACTCCAATTGGTGATATTATTCGAAGACATGGCATAAACTATCACTTGTTATGCAGACGATACTCAACTCAATATATCACTAAAATCAGAAAATGAATATAACCAGAAAGATAAAATTCAACACTGTATTACTGACATCAGGCAATGGATGAAGCTCAATTTTCTAAAACTGAATGATAATAAAACTGTAGTATTTCCAATTGCACAAAAACCTAATCGATATTAACTGAAACGTTATCCATTGGTGACACTGAAATACCACTTTCAAAAACAGCGAACAACCTTGTAATGTTTGACCAGGGGCTAAAAATTAAAAAGTTTATAACTAAAATATGTCGCGCTGTAAACTTTTATCTTTATAATATTGGAAAAATATTATAATATAAAAACAGCCAAAATGTTAATGTGTAATTGACCAGTGTAATTGCCTCCTTTACCAGATTCCTGTCTCAGTGCTAAATCCACTCCAACCTATCCACAATAAAGCAGCGAAAATCATTACCAGAACACAACAAAGTCAACACATAACCCCGGTCCTCCAGGATTTACAATGGCTTCCAGTTAAGCAAAGAGTTGTTTTTAAAATATCTGTTTTAACTTACACCTGTCTCCACTGTAGTTTTGCTCCAGGTTACTTAAGATCATGTGATAATAATCTACTAATGGTACCTTCAACAAAGTCAAATCGTGCTGACCGTGCATTCTCCTCCGCTTCTCCCATTATTTGGTGGGGGGTGGATGGCCGAATGGTTAGCACATTCGCGCTGTATCATAAGGTCTGCCATTGAGTCAACTGGAGTGCTTTCGATTGCCCGGTTGTAGGGTCGCCTGTCCAACCTCGTGGGTATTCTTTGGGCGTTCTCACTGCTAAATTTTATTGAAATAAAATTGGACTATGTTAGTACCGAAATAACCTAGTTTGTGTTACGTTAAACCCCCCCCCCCTCTCTCTCTCTCTATCTCTCTCTCTCTCCCATTATTTGGAACTTTTTACCAAAAAGTATAAAAAAGGGACAATATAGAATCATTTAAAAGGAACTTAAAAACAGAACTATTCAGACAGTCATTCTGTTAATGACTTTAATAACACTGTAATTTGCGCCAATGAGCAGCTTTTTAGTTGGAATTCCAGCTCTATATAAGACGATTATTATTATTATTATTACTATTAAAGTTCTTTTAATTTTAAACACGCAACGCCATTCGGCTCACACGTCAGTAGGACCAAATAACTTGACAGACCCCATTTTGAATGTCACATGATACTGGCGGTATTCAATATGATTAGTCCAACGTAGTCTCTTTTTAAGGTAAACGGTGAACAAACATTGATACGAAAAACAGCAGCGACACGATTTTGTTTACCGTTTATTTAAATCTTTCGGTATACAGAGATATGAAATATTATGACAACCGTGCTTATGAAAATACTTCAGTCATTATAGGTCTGGTGTGAACGAATCTAATTTCTTCATTACAGGTGGTTCTGAAATAAAATATAAAAGGTTATTTCCGGAAACGTTGCAGAACACCACCCTCTGCCAGTTACTTTCTGTACCAAAAAAGACCGTGAGCGAATGTTCATTCCTTAAAGCATCCACCAAATACAATAGGCCAATCAACGATTTTCAACTGAGTTATTCCTTGGACTAGGCAGTAGAACGCACTTTCAATGTTAATTTCAGATAAGGTAACGTGATGAACAGAATCGCATTAAATAACCAGACATCGTGTTGATTACGGGATATCTTTTATGACTGATAGGATAACGTTAGCATTTCATTAACAATCACAATGATTCTAAAACTCATCAACTGCTTCATTAGCAAGCTGAGAATATTAAGAAATCTGATAATCATTTAAGATCGTCCCGAAATATTCTGATCTATTTCTCTCTAGTTTTAATTTCAATTCAAGAATTCGCCCCGGGAAAAGAGTTCGGAAGTAAAATCATGTCATTTTAGTAATTTCCGGTTTAGAGAGTCCTTTTTCCTCAAATAACAGCCAGGATTATCGTTCTTGCCTCTAGGTTATTTCTACCTTTATGTGCTAGAGACTTGTGGAAAGTTGTCCACGCGACAATATTCAGTCAAAATTAAGTGTAATCAGTTTAGTGTTCATTTGCCGGGGAAAATGAACAATTTCCCTCTTTATATTACGTGCGTCGCCCGGTGCCTCAAGTCAAACAGATAAGAAGAGCTGAAGTAAAATGACGCATTGTGCATCACGGAAGCTGAAAAGCTTAAGTCCAAACTTTCAAGTAGAATATTTTGTTAAATAAATATGCCAGTGGTCATAATAAACGATAATACAACCGTCTAGTGTCTTCATTTGCTATCTCCAATATAACAATGTAAAATATGATAAACTTAAGTCCAGTAATATCTACATTTCCATCGGCTATATTGTACGACGATAAAATGTCATGGTGGGCTTACAAAATTCTGTCCATATCAAAATGATAATAGCCCCCACGCTTGCCTGAGATATTGCACCATAGTCGTTAGAAGTAAGCACATAAAAGTACATAGAAACGAAACGAGAGTCAACTTCTCAAGACATAGGGTTCAAATTGACACATTATATCTTGTCATCACAATTTCAGAGTTCCTGAGATTTGCTTTTACATCAAGTTCACGTAACATCTTTATCCCTAATACATTTAACAAAACGTGTTATTAATGGCACTGAGATATTTTCTTGGCTGGCACCCTAAGCCCGCTAGCCAATCAGCAATTAAAATGATATTGACTAATGAGGGCAAAGGTTCAATCGAGAGAGTTAATTTACCTGTTTAATTGAAAGGTGTACAGAAGTGCGGCATAACATAACATGACATAAAACTGGTAAAGCCACACATAGATCCGAATTTTAAAAATCAATACTGTAATTACACGTAGAGTTAAATAAAAAAAATGCCCCTAAGCTAAAAGATACAGGATTTTCTTTTATTTAGCTCTGTTATATCTCAACATTGATTTGATCTATCTTAATATGTTTTCATCTAAAAAAAAATCCAAACAAATCAAAGCGTAAAGTTGGATCTAATTGACACAAAAATATGTCTTTCCCCTTTAATTTCAATTCGATTTGACTAATGTGCGCTGTAAACAAATGTCCTATTAGACTCGTCGACAATCTTTATGAGTCCTTATAAGCAAAATACTACAAGTACGTATACGGCTTTTAATTAATTCAGTTAATTATCATTGCAGTATTTTTTAAAACATCTATCAAATGAATACTTACAATGACTTGGATTGCATGTAACTAAGCGGTAGGAATTCTCTGACCAGCTTATTCGTACATGTTCAGCACAGAAAACGCAATAGACAAATACCAAAGTTTAAGCACAGAATGTGTAGTAGTGCAACTGCGTGGTTAATTTTCGTCGTGTTTTAGAAAAAATTTTGTTCGTTAAAAAGTCTCGGTTCAGAGTGGATCAATTTGACTGAAATTTTCAGGAATTCACTTTACATTATCAAGTTTTTAACTATTATAGTGAGAACTGCCAGCTCTTTATCTAATCTCCCATAAAATACGACACTGTTGCATTAAAAAGGTTAATTCGAAACATGAGTATTTTTCATTAAAAATAAAACAACAATATACCAGAAAATTACTAAAAATAAATATTTTAAGAGTTTATATGTCAGGAGTTTCTGGCCAGAAGGTAATTCATCATTAAGATGATATAACTTAATGTAGTCCCATTAGTATGTAAAGAGCTAACGAGGCAAGTTTCTATTCTAGGTTTCCTTGAGCTCGTTATAAAAGGGATGATGGTCATTGGAGATTTTTAATGTATGGCAGAAGGTTTTCTGTAGTTAGCAACACCTTGATAATCAACACCAAACACGCGTTTGACGGATTTTGATACGGTTAATGATGTTTCTATTGCGAATGATTTATTTGATGTTATAATGATATTTTGTTCGTTCAAAATTCCTAATAATGACTTTTGTAAACATAATTTTTATTTAATTATATCTTGCATTAATTATATTTGTATTTAAATTGTTTCTGTCCAAACGTCAGTGCATGCCCAATTAGACGTCACGAAGAAATGTATTTTTGAAATATATAGATCAGCATTAATGATGACTAGAAACGAATTCAGTCATGTTTGCTATCAACATACTTCAGTAATGTTAAAGAGCACATACAACGAACACGTATAAGTCAGATTTATTATAGGCACTATTGATCAACCAATATGGTTGAATTATCAGCTATATGTGTCGCACGCCATACACACTATCCATGGTGGTATCCGATGTACATATTGTGTATCTGTACCCATGGTGGAACCCGATGTACGTGAGTATCTGATCTATGCTTGTCTATACCACGGTTCAAGTAACATGTTGGCATATTACTAGTTTATCGTATAAAATATGTGAATTATAAGTCATTAGAGAACGAATCAAATATTGTACGGGAATTCTACCAATGTGTTTCCGTTTCGATACAGTAGCAGATATTTGTTGGTGTCTTTGATGACCTACAAACTACACCCGATTAACCATTCAACAATGTTATTCCCCTATTCAGTGGGCGGTGCCAATAAATTTCTTGGTATTAACAGAACTCTTCATAAACAGAAATAAACCGAAACAGAGAAAGTGTAATATGCACGTGTAAAATGGCAAATAAAAGAAGAACAGATATCAAGAATATATAAAACATAACGCACCAGTTATTTTTTAAGTTGTTCGAAATTATAATCGTTTGATTAGAAATTATATTTTAGAGGGAAAATGCCCTGTAAGTGTAGTGGAGTGTTGTGTAAGTTCAAACAAATGGTCATTAGCAAAACATTCAAGTCATCAATGCCAACTTATGGTTGCAACATTGCAGCATATCTTTAGTCATTTTACTACAGAGAAAAATAAACTTTTCCGATTTCCATTCCACCAATCAATCAAATGTTCAGATGTTAATTATATAAAAGAAGGTACATGCGATCTTTAATGCCCCTACCCCCAATCTCTATTAAATGAAAGGGGTGTAATATAGTGAAATATTCGTTACACCTGGCGCGAATAATGCACCCATAACCGAAATGAAATGAAATGAAATGGGGTCTAACGTCCTACTGTTCTGCTCCTATACTGGGCTAATGAAGACGGTCACCCATAACCACGTCTTTTATTTGCACAATTGTATCGTTGTCTAATGCTTAAACGCGGCGACCATATGAAATATTATAAAAAATATGTTGTACAGACTTCTAACCATTGACAAAAAGCAAACCAAAAGAACTTTTGCCGGGGATCTTTTTTTATCCGAAAAGGTAATCAAAGTAGAGGCTACACGTTTATATCTCTGTTATAGGTGTAACAACTGAAAGCAACTGTTTTGGGAACCCTAGAAGTATAAGGACAGGTGTTCTACAAGAAGGGTTTAAGAAATCAAGGATGTGTAAGAACACCCCTCCCCTCCCGTACTTCCGCTCGCGCGCATACCTCATCTTATTTTGTAAAACTTACCTTTCTGGAAAATATGAAACGTGTTCTCATTTTGAGGAGTTCATTTCTGGTAATTAATGCATCCTTGTGAACTTTTGCATAGAGTCAACCTAATTTTTCGCGTCTCGCCCATTCCTCCAAATGTTACGACAAAATTCACACAATATCAGAATCCTCAAAAGAAAATTATTTATTAAGATTTATCTTTAATTAATGAAATCATTGCCCTAACCAGAGTATAGGTCGAAGTTTGAAAATCGAACGTACTGAATTGACAGATATACTGACTATTAACATCACGATTAATCAAAAGTTAACGGATTAAATGTATTTTATACATAATTAAACATGACGTAAAGGTGGTCCGCTGATTAATTATGTCCATTAATCATCCTTAATTAACAGGAAATAAAAACAACCTTCTTAAATTTGCTCAGATCTTCTTTACGTGGACGTCACGAACACAAATCAAAAGATGACGACAATGAGTGAGGGTGGGGACAACTGGTTCGATCTAACTAGATTAATTAAAATTGAATATATGATTGAAAATTGGGGTCGTTCAGTATTTAAGTATAAATCTCTGGAATGGGGCTTACCGTCATATTTTCGTGTACCAACCGGACAATGTTGCCCCGAAAGCGGCGTTTTCGCGTACTATTCATACAAAGAGTACCTGCGTGTTCATCGTTGTTTCTTCCGACCTGATCGACTAGTTTTTCCTTTATCAGATCATCCACCCTGCACCACCGACAAGAGGGAAACCAGACTAGAAAATCCCGAGGAACTCTCTCGGTCTGAACCCGGGATCTTCTGATTAATGGTCCCCATTCAGTATATAAGAAATATAGAAAAATCAAGGTGGAACTAATTATTATATCGGTGTAACCGTATATTACGTCTCCCACAACTTATTTTAGCTGTTACCACAATTAAAGTTGGTGATGACAAATTCAGAGAAGAAACACGAGCATGTAAGTTGGAGGTTAACATAAAAATATGAAATTTACAGAATAGTTATCAAATTGTAATTTCTAATTGAATAAATGTATTGACCGTGCAACACATGCTACGACAGAAATTTATTTTTTTCTATAACCTATATACCCGCGCTACGTATATCCAAGAGAAAAGGGAAGAAAACCCATTAACATCAACGAATACAGCAAATGATATACCGATAGCTTTCAATTATCCAGAAAAGAATAAAATTTGATCAGAAGCGGTGTGTGTGTGTGCAGTGGTGTAGTGCTGGGAAAAAGTTAGCATTTTCTTGAAATTTTGTTCCGACAATTCACCACACCACTATGTGCATGTATATGTCCTCGCAAACATGCACCCAGTATCCTCTATAAGAGTAATTGACCCGAACATTAAGTATAATTAAATGTATGATATTTTGGTCTGAACCGACCACACAAAGCTATATTGTGGATAAACCCTGCCTCAGGTACCCCCGTTTATCTGACCTACAGCTTGAGGATTCAATGTCGGTCTCTAAATTATTACATTACTGGACTGTAATTAGAGTGATGCACAGAGTGCAAAGAATATCAGATGTAATTTAAGACAAAAATAAATTATTACTTAATTATTAAAATAGATTTTCCCCTATTTTCGTGTAGTAGAACTAATATTTCTTGGTACCTTTTATTCGAAATCTAATAATACATACTTACAAATCTTGTTTGTATGATAAATCCTGCATGGTCATATCAATCTTGTGGACAAAAATTAAATCGATTTATTAACTTTAAAATGCATACATAAAATACACAATTAATAAAACACAATTTATCAACATTAAAATACACACATATAATACATAATTTATAAAATACGACTTTGGTACATACTTTAAACATTATAAATACACGACTTTTAGTTTATAACACCAATAACTGTCAACTAAGATTGGGTCAATTATGAAATTAATTAGATGAATGAGGAGTGACCTAGACTTCACATAAATAGTTTTTAATTTCTATTTCGTTGAGTCGTGATGAATGCAACAAATTAGAAATTATATATAATAGTTATCTATACAAAACCATCTTAGATTTAAAAAAAAAAAGGTACTGCATGAAAGTATTTTCAGACAGTAACGTGTGTTGTACAGTGGACGGGGTATGCTTATTGTTTCTAGAGAACCCCAAACCACTTCCTATTTGAGGATGTTAAACAGCTTACAAATGCTGTTGGATTTTCGTATTTGTCACATAGCTGGTTGACTTTCAACTGGAGAATTATTATACCATGACCAATGCCAGTTAAGGTCGATAACTGTCATAAAATAACAATTAAATGTTAAGGCCTTCTGGAAACATTATTTTGAAAATGATAAAGTTTGGATGCTGATTGTTCTGTAAAGGGACATTACAGGTGTATTTAGCGATGTAATTTGCCAGGTTGACAAAAGCTGTCATTGCCCAAAGGTAACTTTTCTAACTCTAGGAGGCGTGAAAATACAGCTCCGGTTATCCAGGTAATAATCTGACAGATGTAATAAGCGTAAAGTTTGCGTTAATTCATGCTTTGTCCCATAACCTTTAAAAGGGCTTGTTGTTTTAATTCAAATTTAAAGGGAGATATACACATTTTAAATTTGTTATATATTTAGCTACTGCTACCGTTGGGAGCCACGGTGGCTAAGTGGGTAAGACGCGGGATCCCTAGCCTGGCGGTCGCGTGTTCGACATTGCATTGGCCGAGAAAGTTCATTGGAATTTTCCGACGTGGTTTCCCCTTGTCAGTGGTGCAGGATTGAAGGCTTGACAAGGACAGCTGTTTATTCGTTCGGATTGGACAAAAAACCGAGGTCCTGTGTATACATTGGTGTGAACGAAAAAGATCCCTTACCAGTAGGCCATAGTGCCGCTTTCGATCACAATTTTCCTCATCGCACACTGTATGGCGTATGCCCGTCTTCATTAGCCCAGTAGGAGCATAACAGTAGGACGTTAAACCCCATTTCATTTCATTTCAATGCTACCGTTAGTGTCAGGTGTCATGCAAGAGGAACGATTTTATACTTTGCCTGGTTCATTTGACAGTTAGCAACGATCTAAAGCCAAACAGCGTTTTTAAGTTCGATTTATTTTCAGGCATACAGACGACATTTTCATATGATATTACCATCCTTCTAGGAAGTCGAATGTCAAATAACATCACGTGGTAGCGAGACGTTAATTAAAGCGGAAGTGGGTGTTGAAACCTGGGAAATGAAGCCCACCTAAGATGATGTGTTGTCTAATATGGAATCGTGTTATATTTAAGGCGATCTGGTAATACGGTGTGGTATATCTGGATGTAAATGGAAACCTGTTAGAAAATGTAAATAATGTTATCTGGTAGTGCTTGCTTACAACAAATCTCCATAAACAATATTTTTCAACTCTAAATCATGGCCATGTCTTGAAGTTCTAATACTGCTCTTACTTTTTTCTCTCAAATTCTTGATGTTAGGCACTGGTGTTGTCTATGTGTGGGTTTTAATGGGGTTTTTTTTATAATACGTGCAAATCAGTCATCAAGGCGCGGGTTAATTAATTCAGGAAACAGGAGTTAAAATACTTGTTGAAATCACCCATTTGCCATACATGTTTAATTCTAATGCACCCCGCAAGTCCTTCCGGTTTCGCGGAGTGATTAGTTAATTTTGTAAGTAAAATGGTAGACATACATAATATAAAATAAAGCGCTAAAAATATAATTGACCAAATACTATATGAAAAAGAATATATGAAAATACAAAAAATACAGCACAAATATCAGAAAAACAGCTGGACTGTTGAAAAGCTGTCTAGAAGACTATGGAAAAAATAAAAACGAAGGAACATCAATACGAACAAAACCAAAAAAAAAAACCCCGACAAAACAGATAGATTCGTACGAAGCTGATGGAGTTTTACTGGAGTCTCATGGACAAGGTAACGAGCCACCGCGTACACACCTTCTCTGCCTTTGTTATATTAATAATAAAATATTATAAAACAATAGTATAAGTATTTATTAAATTATAGCGATTTAAGGACTGGTTGTCTGGTGCAGATGAAATACGTAGTCTAAAACACTGTAGGGTTGTCAGAGGTTTATAGTTTATTCTGTTTCTATATCTGGTAGGACTGGTACCACCACATGGCGAGGTATGGCACAACTGGTATTTATTAATAAGCGGTGCTGGTATCTTTAATAATCTAATTTGAAACAACTGAATAATGCGGTAATAGATCTGAATATGCTAGCGACCGAACATGTTACGATGACGTCATTCATATACTTTATAGAACACCTGATATCTCTTCTCTGGTAAGTTTACATATATTTTGTCTCACAATATGAAGTACAATTGGTTCTAAGTGGTAGTTAAGAAACATAATTACATGTATGTGGACGAGTTAGACATAATATGCGGACCTTCCTAATGAAAAATCAACTCGCATTTGAAAAGTAATATCAGGCGTAAACTTGATCAGAACTCTGCAACGCCCAGTAAGCCTTTGGTAACACTCCGAGTTGTTCGTCCTTTACGATACATATAACGGAAACTTTGCTCTTTTCGTGCAAACCGGAACACTGTTTAGGCCTTGTGGATGTATGTCCTAAAAGTTGCAATATAGTTCTATTTTTGTATAGAGAATGTCACAGCAAACCAGTGTATTAACCTTTGTGGAAATATAGAACATATATTTAGTAACTCGGAAGCTTATCTCATTTTGGAAACAAGCTTTCATACACATATCAATAATAGGATTGTGTTAATTCACCGTTCTAAATTGGAGATAATTTCTGAAATTGTTTGATTAAATTGATAAATTCCTCTTACATGTTCTTCGCCAAGTAATAGTCTGGTCTATTGTCCATTTCCAGTCTAGCTTATTGTTTGTAAATATCTATAAACATTTGTTTTAATTTCAAATGACATCGATCTCGCATGAAAGAATTTTAAAGTGGTCTGGAGACTAATATTGTCTTATGTGTAGACAACTTATGTTGGTATTTAAAAAAAAACGCCTGCCTAACTGGTATCATGTTAGATGGTTTTAACTAATTCAGAGCGGAAAAGGTCATTAAATGTATCTCAGAAAAGCGTATGTACATAAACGGATTGATCTTTATTAAGGGCTATTTGCGTTCATAAATATAATAGAACGATGTATATTGATAAAACAAGCATCAATGTATATTATTTTGATATAATTAGAAGGTTTTGTATTTTAAAAGATCATCGTCTGAGAATGTGAATAGGTTCCTCATCAAATAATTACATGTGTTTTGTCGTGAACTAATACTTAGGTCAAAACGATTAGTCAATGTTTCTTTTCAACAAAATTCAAAAGATCACCAAGAATGGAGAGAAAAAAATCACTATTTAAGATGCGAAAAGCGAAGTTATGGGAAGAAAACAGATCGAAATGTTAGTAAAGTTTCTATACAAATTGATACTTTGGATTTTTGCGTTTGTGTTTACGCCATGACATGTAATATCTCAGGGGTATATGTTCTAGACAATCGAATATATCTTTTATCATTTTGTATTTCTATAAATGCTTGTTCAAAAAGGTTCTTTGTCTTCTACTAATTTGCTCCAAGGAAATTTGAGTTTTTAACAAAGGTTTTAGAGGGTTCACCAATGTCAGAAAATTGAAATTATTCCATAAACATGATGGCCAAACGATTATTGAAATCGTAGAAACATTCTGAAAATACAGGCAATTCATTAAGCAATTGTTTTCAAATTTTTCTTGGTGAAATGTACATAGAACCACGTGTGTCTGTCCAATATATTCACACCAAAATTATTACAAAATTTGGGAACGATCGGGGTACAACAAAGGGTAGGCACATGAGTTAAATAAAATTTGCAGGTTATTTAATATTGTCATTTCAGTTTCTGTCATTAAATTCAATGTCTTTTGTTTAGGAAATCAATAAATGCATTTAGCAGCATCTCAAAAGAACACCGGTGGTGCCAGCATCCTGAAACTTTGGTAAAAGTCGAACTTCAGAGAGTTGTTATTCGACGAAAAACATCAAACGAAGAACTAGGGATTGCTCGAAAACGTAGTACATACCCTCGAAGATAACTGAAAATAAGTTAAATAAATGAAATATATAAAAGATATGAAGCTTACAACAAGAATTAAATGTTTGAAACACGACAGAATTATACAATTTGGAACCAATTCCCTGAAAAAGAAACCTTTCTGTAAGAACATAGTTGAGTATTGGAATGTATTGATTTTCTTCATGGTTTAAGAATCAAGTCTGCCTTGGTAGCATTTGCAGCAACAATCTTACCCGAAATAACAGTTTTCTCTTTTATTTTAAGATTAACTAAGAATATATTTGCAAGACTTTAACCACACAAATTATCTGTAAAATTGCTTATCATCATTAAAGACCTATGGGATATACCTACGCACTTCAGTTTCCACACTGTATGTAGTCGAAATTGCGCCTAATACATTTACAATTTTACACGATAAAAAGTCGTGTGATCTTCGATGTATTATGCCATAGCAAACCTTTTTGATTTTTTCAGCTGTATGTGACCAATGATGGTGAGAATTAGAAGGTCCAGTTTTAAAATTGCGAATCACAGGATTCATAATCGTAAATTGGTAGTTTTTATTGATATGTTTGCTAAGTATTTTAGCGACTGTTCACCACATGCCAATACGGCGAAGGTCGACTGCTTGCGTAATATTAAACATGCTTAATTATTCGATGTACCTAATTATTACAATAAATTATAATCCCATAGATCCATAAATACAAAACGACAAACTAGTTTAATAGCAATTGGAATTTACCAGACAAACGCGACAAAGTAAATTTGCTTCCCATTTCAAGGTGACATCGGGTGTTTCAAAAAGTGTAAGCCTACTTTGTTCTGGGCGCGACACAAACCTTTATTAAAATAACACGTAAGTTGGTGAGTAATGAAATAACCGGCAGACCGTCTAACACTTTCAAGAAGAGACACAAATTTGTGTCAGCCTTGATTAACCGATTGCAAAGTAACTTAAAAAAGAATAAACATAAATATGCGAGAATATAATTTTTTTATGATCTAATTTACATAAAATTGTTGCACTGTTTACATAAAGTAATTGAAATGACAAAGCTGTTTCAAAACCAGCACAAAGATGGAGCGAATCAGACACAAAATGGTGAAGTTCTTTTTAAAATAGAATAGTTAGAATTGTGTTATGTTGTGATAGCCTACGGACGATATGGAAAACTTAACACGTACATCTTTGAATGAATTAAATTTTCAACTTAGTGGGGGCTACAATATGTTGCCTTAAATTCAGGATGTTACCAAATTCTATGACATTTTCGTCGACAAAGATATCATTTTACTTTACCCGCTATGGCGACAGGAATCGTTTGGTGCATACGTCATTGAATCTTAACATCATTAAAATGCATTTTATAAAGGACATTTTAAAATTTTATTTAATTAAGCAATATTAGAATTTGAGAATAAACTGTTACTAAGTGACAATAATTCTACTGTTACTAGCAACAATATGCTACCACTGGTGAGGTAACATTTAAAAAGGTTCAACAGTTTGTTATTTAATAGAGTCGTTTGGAAAAACGTTTTACACCTTTAACAGGGAAGTAGTTCTTTGAAATGGAGCCGAGCCGTTGTCATATTAAGAGAAAATAGCATGGTTAATTGGGTTGTTTGGAAAAACGTTTTACGCCTTTAACAGGGAAGTAGTTCTCTGAAATGGAGTCGAGCCGTTGTCATATTAAGAGAAAATATCATAATCAAAATATCACTTGTAAAACTCACACAACACATAACCCATATTACGGATATTTTATGAAAATCACTATATTAGTACCAAAACCAAAAACGCTCGACATAAATTAACATAATGTAAAAATCTAGTTATGTTATTTCCCTCTCTACTTTTCGCCTCTGCAAATTCACTGTAAATTTTTCATCTTTGCATTTTCAATTATCAGATTTTCTCCATTACATTTTCGACTATCACAAGTTTCCAATCTCACTAACCATATAAGGAAAGGGCGTGTTTACGAGTTCAGCCGAAATTGACGCTATAACTCATCTGTTTCTATCGTCTGGACTAAAATTATTGCTCCCTGAAAGGGACTATTGGGCAAACGACTTCATAAATCTACGTTGATATAAGCGGATAATGCATTCAGAGTTCTTCATTTAGCGGAGTGAATAGTTAAGTGCAGGAAGACCGCATCATATATAACAATTACACAAGACAAACCCGTGGACACGACACACGATATAGGCCACACATATTTCAAACAATAAGCAACAAACGTATATATCAAATCAAATGAATGGATCCGACATCCATCTATATAAGCAAATTGTTTTTGTCAGGCCTGCACATAACAGCTGCAAGCAACACATGAAGTGTAGCTATTTTAAAGGAGCTTAATCGCTAACCTTTGGGACCTAGAAATTGACAAAAGTGGGTCGCAACGCATATAATACTGTAATATGAATGTATATAAACTGATTTACATTCAATGGTTTCCGTTTTTACGCCAATTTCAAATCAGTTATGTTCGGCGAAATAAGCCAGCAGTTTCAAGGGAGTGCAAATTCCTAGCGTCTGGTTATTCCAGTCTACATATGCCGTTTGATTTGGTGCAATGTGTCTAGCCTCGTCCCTCGAGTCTCTTGATACATCTGGGGCTGAAGCGCATTATGGTACACGAGTCGTGTTTATTTTTTCTTAAATATTGGATATCAAAAGGCCATATTTTCCCGGTAAGATCACAACATGAATGTTGATTTAATTTGACAAATAAATCGTGTTTTCAATGTTGAAGATTTTGGATGATATTGATTTAGAGACTTAGCTACTTTAAGTAAAAGTGTTACGTAAGTACAACTATCTGTTATTGTTATTCTCCCTACTGTACTGTAAATTCTACTTGATAAAAGAAACACAGAAAAGTATAGGCAGGCCTATTTAATCTTCCATACTATACAAGTTTCCTTTGTCTACGATGTCACCTATGGTGAAAGTGGACGTAAAACTCTAGGAATGAACGAACGAACGAACAAGTTTCACTTTATTTATTAACAAAACCCATAACATATGTAATTTAGCAAAATCGGTTATAAGTAATTTCAAGTTGTTACCCGATCCACTGCTTATATCAGGGCTCTACTGTACCAGCAGATTATTGAGAGGATTTCAGTGAACCAAGCAAGAGCTTAGGGAAACACAGAGAATGATTACGCGGGCCCCTACAAACGTGGGAGCCTAGGCCATGGCCTAGTTGACATGTGCCTTAATCTGACCCTGCGAGTACGCAAACATAAAAAAAATGACGTCACATCTGTATTTTGATTGAAGACCACATAAAACTTATTTGGCCTATATATTGGCTACCGGATAATTTATGTTTTTACTTTCATGTTTGATGGCAACTACATAATCGTTTCCGGAACCACGCCCTCTGTCCGTTCGAATAGAAAATCTTGGTGCTGGGAAATACAATGGAGAAATTCTGATAGTTGAAAATCCAAAGATGAAAAAGTTACAGTGAATTTTCAAAGGTGAAAAGTAGAAAGTGAAAAAACATACGACGTAACTAGATTTTTACATTATTAATTTTGTTTGATACTAATATAGTGATTTTGTGTTATGTGATATTTACAGGTGAAAAATTTCGAAAATGGTAATTGTTACCATTTTGACTATCTATGATCATGATATTTTCTGTTAATATGGCAACGATTCGGCTCCATATTTTTAATCACTTTTTAATTTCTATCTGATTTTATTTGAAAAAAGGAAGTAGCAACCTTTGGATGCATCTGTAACGAAATATGTTACAACACCCCTCTATTAGTCCCCCTCAGAGTGATTAAACAACGTTGTTTTTTTTGTTTTTTAAATGCTGATTGTATAAGAATAGTGTTAGTTACGCTACGCTAGATATATTCAAAATGGTAATCCTTTGAACTTTATTTGTCAGTGATGGCGATTATTCTTCCCTTGTATTTTTGAAGGATTAATTGCGAAACATGCCGTTATTAATTACTCGTATACTGATGAACAAATTCGACATTTTGTGCGAGCGTTTTACTTTATGAAAACAAATCACTCCAACACAACAGCTTATTTATATAAAATTTCGGGTACATCACCATAACATATATGAGACTTTTTTACTGGGTACACAACCCACAAAAATCCAAATGGACATAATTCTACTGAGTCTTATGCTTATGTATGTAACGATATTATAGTGGTGTCCCAAATATCTCTCTCTGACCGTTGGTCGATTAACGCCTGCTTTCACAATAGAGATATCGCAAAAAAGGTTTCAAACTATGCAAAATTATAGATAAGTAGGACCATGCGCACATAACTGGAGTCTTTCACGCAATGGCTCAAAAGGCCACAGATCACTAAATATTTGCCCATTGACTTTAATGTTAATTCTCGTCTCTTAGACCGGCTCTAACTTTTCCCCAAATTTTCGTTGGGTAGAACGCTTTCTACCACAGATGGAGCAACACATGGCAACCTCTTGCCCAAAAGCACGTATGAGGTTCACCATGAAAAACTTGAGATAAACAAGCTGGAAGTAGAGACAAGAAAACATGCAATTTTGGACCCTACATTTCAACCTAACCAACCTCTCAACTCTTGTATCCTTCCGCCTCAAAATCATGAATATTCACCAAAACCTGGTAGAAAATGTATTTTCAAACCCTTTTCTTCGATTCTACACCAAAAAGTCAACAAAAATCGCCATGCAAAAGGGGGAAAAAGGGAAAGGGAGAGAAAGACTAAAAATAACTTTCGCCCTACATTCGTGGGTGACGGCGTAGAAATATTTGGTGAGCTGTGTCCAAAATGGCGACTCCCTCATTCCGCGATCTTGTAGCCCCGATTATCAAATATGGACTTACAAGTGGTTCGACAGTCTGATGTATATAGTCATGAAGCCTACCGAGGAATCCCGACTGCCAAATACCTATAACTATAGTTGTTGACGTGAATTCACGACGGTCATACCGTTAGGGCCGATATAGCTCCATGACATGATACATGTTTGCATGTATTCAAGGCGGGTTGGGGTGGTCTAGAGTGTCGCGCTTCGGCCTCTAGCTGGCCGGTTACCTCTGACTTGCGGTTGTGGTTTCGATCCCTGGTGTGAGCGTATGTGGCTTAGAGATAGGGGCGCCTTCTCAACCTCGTGGGTTTACCCCGGGTACCCCGGTTTCCTCCCACAGGAGAGACCCCTGCGCGTGCGCTAAGATAATAAAAATTAAAATAAGACAACTTGTCTGCGCTATCACCATCGGTGGAAGTGGACGTTAAACACTAAGAACAACACATGTATTCAACAACATGTTCAATAATCATTACACGTTCCTCT